ATGATCACTTTAGTGACAATGGCAAAGGCATCAATTCATACTGTGCAGGAGAAGGCAATGGTAAACCACTCCTGTCTTTTTACCAAAAAAAAACTTGTATTGAAAATATAAAACAATTGACAATGTAGTGCAGAATGATGGGTCCCTCAGGTGGGATGAACTCAACACGCTACTGAGGAAGGGCTGAAGATCTTTCAGAGTACTAATGGTGTTTATGACATGATTAGATTAAAGCCTTCAGGACGTATAGTCGCTGATGTTGTCATACAGGAAAAGAAAATCTGAAGCTGCAAAGATAGAATTACAGTAGGAATGTGAAACAAGAAGCATGAACGCAGGAAAGTTCAACATGGTGAACAATGAAATGAACTACTACAAATTGACATCTTAGGCATCAGCAAATTGAGATGGACTGGGATCGGACACTTTCAGTCAGAAGATCACACTGTTTATTACTCAGAACATGAAAAAAAAAAAGAAGAAATTGTGTTTCTTGGAGAAATTCTTGGAGAAAATCTATCTATGTGGTCACTAGGAGTCAAAAATGACTTGATGGCACATAATAATAATAAATACTCCATGTCTCTCAGATTGTAAATCTGTATTGCTGTTTGCAAGAATCAGCTCTGTGGAAAAATATAATCTTGCTTTTAATATGTAAATTCTTTTTTTATTGCTGAATCTCTCAGTACACTTGTTTATTGCCTCTTCAGAGGCGATAAAACTTCAAAGGAGTTATGCTAATCAGTGTTTTTGATTTTCCAACAATGGGAGTTACCAGCAAATCAATGTGAGTAGCTGATTTGTGAGTAGCTCCAAACACTGCTAAGACATAGCTTGCTTAATCATGCTTTGTTGAGTAAACCACAATTGTCTCATTCCCATTGATATACTAAGCCATAATGGTTTACCACAATGGGCAGGGTCACATGAGATGCTAACACAAAACAAAATAAATCACGTATTACTTAGAATTACGTGAAGCAGGTGTGTGTTGGTATCTGTTCACACATGCATGCATAGAAGTCTAGTATCAGTTGGACATAAGTGGAAGAGTTTGGTTTAGTTGGTTGGAAATCTCTTTGTATACAAGCCGTATAACAGGTCCGTATAGTATGAGAATTCCTAGGGGTATATTGTGCAATTTTTATCCTTAACAAACAGGAATCTCCTCTAATCTTACAGAGTGCCAATGTGGAATCCATCTTCTTGAGCTGAATGAAACATTCTAGGCCAGAACATCTTTTACCTGGGGGATTCTTAGTTCCACTCAGCATTTTATGACTATATGTAGATTGTACCCTGCAACATTAATATTTACTACCAATGATACTTGCCAAATTAAGTAACTATGTATTCTGAATAACTTCTTAGCCTTCTCTCCAACTTACCTAGTCATTCTCAGATATTGCACTACAGTATAACCCTAGGCATACAGGTTTCCTTATTGTAGTTTAAAGGGCAGAACGTTCTTTATCAACAGATGCTTTAATACAGATTTCATAAATGAAAACAGAGAACTTGGCCAGTGCATCTTTATAAGCAAAATCCAGTACATTCAAAATTTAGATTTCTCCTCATGTTGTATATTTGTGTTTAAATCATCAGATGTATAGCCTAACCTTTTTCTAGGATCTCAAGATGGTATGTATAGCATTCTGTCTCCCATTTTTCCCCCAAATCACAGCCTAAGTGGGATACACTGGGAGAGATAGTGATTGACCCAACATTACCCAGTGAGCTTGACTGATGGGAACTTGAACCTGGAATACAGAATGGAGAATAATATTGATCATACTTTACAGCTTAGCATGTTCTAGCACCTTAGTTAATGGTACTTGATGCAATAAGCTACAGTAAAACAAACTAAGATTCGGCACAATGTACAAATCAGATCAATATACAGCAATGTATAAATTATTAATTTATTGCATTAAATTATCTTAGGACACTATTAGTGCTGCCAGGCACTATTATTATCCCTAATATCAACTGGAAGTTATGTGAAATGCACAAAGTTTATTTAAGAAGTCTTTCCATCCTTATTACTAGGTTTGGAGTGCTGCAATGTTTAGACTCTACTTTAGTGGATTTGATTGTAGTAGACTCCAGTTCAAGTCTTTGCTCTAGGTGGTCTAGAACAGATGGTATCTATCATGGGTGGTAAGCAGAAGGATTCTAGGTGCTGTTGGCCACTGTGTCATTTTCCTCCATAAATCAATGAACAAGTATAATGTTTTTGACGCATTTGTTTAACTGAATCTTCTTTATCTAGTACTAGGGCTTGTGTGGAGAACAGATCCCATTTTAGGTCATATTTATGCAGAAATATTGAAAACTCAAAAGGGTTCACAAACTTTTAAGCACCACTGTAAATCACAGTATGTTCTAGGAGAAAAGGTGAAATACAAATGCAATAAACAAATATTTTTTCTAGTATAAATTTAATTCCAATTCTCAACACTTTCTTGGGCTTTACTAACTACAGTGCTACAAGATTGATCGATTGATTATGTGCCATCAAATCATTTTCAACTCTTAGCAACCACATAGATTTTCTCCATGAAACTACAAAAACACTTGAAATTAAAATTGTCCAGAATGGGGGTTTACAATGGGAGTCCAGGAATATGTATGTCCTGCTTTGCATCATCCAGAATAGTGCAAACTCTATATGTTGGCTGGGGAATTCTGGGAGTTGAGGTCCAGACATCTTAAAGTTGCCAAGGTTGAAAAACACTCATCTAATCAGTAGTAAGGTCCACCGAGTGCAATGGGACTGATTCTCTGGTTAAGCACATACAGCAGCCATCCCAACTGTGTATTCCTCAGATGTGTTGGACTTCCACACTCATAATTCCCAGCAGCCTAGCCCAAAACATCTGCTCTAGGCAGCTGACTGGAGAAGCTTGTGTGTTTCCTTCCTTCCTTCCTTCCTTCCTTCCTTCCTTCCTTCCTCTCTCTTCTCTTTCAAGCTTTGTAATTTCTTCTTTCTTTCTCTTTCTTTCTCTCTCTCTTCTCTTTCAAGCTTTGTGTTTTCTTCTTGCTTGCCTCCTTCCTTCCTCCCTTCTTTTTTTTTAAAAAGCAAGCCTGTCACCGAAACGATCGCTCCCCTTTCTCCCCCCAAAGAGCAGCAACTTCCCTTTCCAAAGCGGTAGCTTGCCTTCTCTCCGGAAGGACGCGGCAGCGACTCCTCCCGAGAGAAAGAGAAGGGGAGAAAGCGGGGATCATAGAGACGGGACTGAGAAGGAGGAGGAGGTAACTCGGTAACCGAGCGAGGGCAGCGCAGTGGAGTTACTTTTTGGAAAGCTGGCAAGGTAGGTCGGGGCCGGTGTGGGCATCCAAGCCAACGCAGACTGGATGCGTCTCGGTCGCCGTTCGCGGACCAGAGGGAATGGAAAGGATTTCTTTTCTCCTGCCCTTTGCTAAAAAGTTTCCGCGAGGCGTGGGGTGAGGAAGCGCGTGGGGTGCCGATCGTGAGCCTGACTTTCCACGCTCGCGCGTTTCTGGGTAGCCGCGGACCTTTTTTACAATTAGGCTGAGTTCGTGCGGGCTTTGCACAGCGTCTGCGAAACGGATCCGGTTCCTCTCGGGCGTGCAGACCTGTCAACCCGGCTTGCTGGAGGGATTGGCCGTCCGCAGGACAGCTTTGACCTGGCTTTGCAGGGCATACAGCTGGGCAGAAGGCGTGGGTTTCCGCTCGAGGGGGAAAACGCTACCCGGGTTGCGATTCGAGGCACGCTTACCTGATAGTTTGTATCTTTCGAGACTTAACTCCTGAGTAAGAGGCCTGTGCAGAGAGAGTGCGGTTTTTTGCGTGCTGGCACCTAAGGCCAGTTGACTCGGTGGAATTTATGTGGAGAAAACCCGTGTAAGTTTTGATTCAAAGTACGCAGCTAAATCCTCCCAAGAATTGTAACTGATTCATGGTTGAGCTACCAACCTAGTCGCTGAACCTCGCATGTGTTGCTTGCAAGCTTCGCTTCTTTTCTTTGATTACTTTTAATAATTCATTTTGAGACTTCGGTTTTAAGCGCTTCGCCTCCCCACCCTACCTCTCACACAAATTCGGCATGAGGCCTTCTAGAGACTTTCTTCTCTGGGCTTACGGTTCTTTGTGAGAAAGCCTCCTTCCACGCTATGGCTGTCACCAAAGGTGTTTGGGATAAGGTGCCCACACCTTGGCTGATGCAGTCCTCTCCTTCGAGTTTGTCAGACTGAAACAGGTTGCATTTTCTTTTCCCTAAATGTGCAGGTGTTTGAACTACGAATGCAAGAGGGAACTGGCAAATTGCCTTGACACAGTTGGGTAGTGATCAGGGGTGTCTGCAAGGTGCAATTTAAAAAGTCAAGATGGTGGGTCCAGTAGTCCCATCGACATTTCGCCTGTTTTTTATGTGTGTCACCTGTGAGACGTACGTTAAACATTGGTGGAGCTTTGATCACACTGTCACGGTCACCATCTTGACTTTTTTGAGCATACCCTGTGGACACCCCTAGTACTGATTAAAGCATTAGACTAGAAATTGAGCAATCGAGGGGTTTATTTATGTATTTATTATTGACAAGAAGGGAGCTAAACACATAGAATGGGCTCTAACAAAAAAGTGAAAGAAATACAGCCAAGAAAAAAACATGTTAATAAGTCATTATAACAGTAAACAATTACGATTCTATATATACTTATCTAATGCAAATATTATTCAAGTAAAGTATATATTTCTAATACATTTATATGACTATCATGGTTTTTTTTTTAACCTACTATATTTTGTATAAATGAGTTCCATAATTTATTATACTTGTCCACACAAAGTCTACATCTATAGGCAATCAGCTCATAGGTGGCAAGTGTGATCAGGTCTTCAATCCATTGAGTAAAGGGGGCCATGCATTTATGCTTCCAATGCTGCAATATCAGTCTTGGCCATAGTAAAAGTACGGAGAATCCATTTACATTGTCCGGTTGTCAAGTTCCACGTATTAGGTACATAGTTCAAAAGAATATTATCCTCTGACAATTTTAGCTTTTGTCACACAATCATATTTATCTAGTCCACTACTTTCTCCCTAATCTTGGTAAGTATAGGACATTGGAGGGATCCAGGTTAACAAAGTTACATTCCCTTTTCCTAACTTACAATTTCACAGAAGGTTGTTAGTAGGAAATATTCTGCATTAAGTTGCTGTGAAGGACAGGTGGGATATAATTTAATACAGTCCTGAGGCCCTAAAAAGAGTGCAGAGAAGAGCAACAAAGATAAGGGGTCTGGAGGCTAAAACCTATGAAGAACAGCTAAAGGAACTAGGTATGTTTACCTTAACAAAGAGAAGACTGAAGGGAGATACGTAGCAGTGTTCCAATACTTGAAGGGCTGCCACAGGGATGAGGGAGTTGATTTATTCTCCATAGCACCTGAGCGTGGGACAAGAAGCAATGGGTGGAAGCTCGTCAGAGAGAGATCTAACCTGGAAATAAGCAGGAATTTCCTAACAGTGAGAGCTATTAAGCAGTGAAACAGCTTGTCTCCCAGAGTTGTGGGTGCTCCATCGCTGGAGGTATTCAAAGAAAGATGGGACAACCATTTGTCTGAGATGGTCTGAGGACTCCTGCCTTGGGCACCAGGTTGGACTAGAAGACCTCCAAGGTTCCTTCCAACCCTATAATTCATTGGTTCAATTAAATTATTGGTTCTACTTAGATAAATTACTGTTTTAATAGAGAATGTCAGAGTCTGCACACTCGATCCCAAAGTTCAGTAAATCCTCTGGAGACCAAAAGTTCCATCAGAGATTTCTTTATTCAGGAGAAGCGTACAGCATCATAGTTTGTTGAGTCTAATTCTACAAAACAAACCCTAATTTCCCCCCCTTCTAGGGTTTCTTTCCCGCTTTCACCTCTTCGCGCCTTGCCCCGGCGCTCACCCCTCCCGGCCTTGGATGTCTGTTTCAGGATAGAGATAACAGCACCTGGCC